TGCCCAAGTATCTTCTGCCTCATGGTAGTGCGCACACTATTCCCCAAATTCAAATTGAGGATGGAATGCTTTATTCCCTAAGCACAGAGCTTTGCAGTCACAGCGACTCCCACGATGCCCTTTAGAAGGCTGCACTCAGTAAACGACAGTGGAACGTATGAACCAGCCTAGGCCAGAACGCAGGTCTCAAACCCCACCTCACTCCTCTTCCCGCCTCGCTGACATTCTAGTCACTCTGCACTTCCGTGAATCTTTTTGTCCTACATAAATGAATCCAAATTTGCTAACTAGAAGCTACTAAAGCCCAAGTTTGAGGGCCTTCCACGGGCTTGAGGCTTCCCTGTGAGTAAACGTGTATTTATCGTGTTGCAGTCTTTCTTAAGGAGGCCCCACAAAATGGTATCGCCCTCACGTCCTGCAAAACCTGTTGCTGCCATGGAAGTTTATGACTCAGTGGGTTTTCACCAAATTTATAAGCTGTGATTGAGAAAACGGAACTTACGTTATTGATGTTATGACAGATTAAATTTTATTTTGGAATACTCTGCGGTCACCTTTGAGAGATGGGTAATTCATCCTTCTGGGTTGCTAAAATGTAGATCTAAATAAGAACTAAATCAAGATTCATTCTTTGTATACTCTTCATAATTACATCACTTCCTACCTCTCATTTCTTAGAATTCCTCTATTCCTCCTAAGGCATTTATCACCTCTGCTAATCTGTTTTCTAAAAAAGCAAGCACCTTACTCAATAGTCTTACTTCCACTCTCTGCCTTCTCACTATTTTAAGACTATGAATAGCCACACGGAAATCATCACATTGTAAATATTAGCACAGTTGGAATTCCTTCTGAAGACCATCTGAAGTTTCTGCATCAATTTTTTCCACAAGTAGGGACTGACATCTTTAAACTTGAATCTATAGTACTGCAATTTGGCATTCCACTTCAATTCTTTAAAAGCGTCATTTATATTGATCTTGTCTTCTGGAATTTCCTGTAGGCTGCCTCAGATAAAATAATTTCCAGCCGAATCTTCATCTTGTCTGCTCTCTACTTTGACATTATGCCTTCAAAATCAAATCTTATTATTTAATCCAAAACAAAAACACTTTACTACAGAATATTAAATCAGTAACATTAACAGACTGACCTTGGTAATTCATTTTACCATGATTGATAAGCCAATGTTTAAGCTTTGACTACTGATACTCAAAGCTTTGCAAATTTCTTCCAGATTATTCATAATTTAACAAGATATTCTAACCGCCACACACAGAAATCGCTATCCAACCACTTTGTGTCTTAGACCAAGGCAATACTTTACTCTCTCGTTTTTCAAATAAACTTACAGCCCAAATTACAAAACTACGACCGATTGTAAAGGCCAAACTTTTTAGCTCGCTCTGATCCCCATCACCTTTCTGAGCTGGTGACTGCGGAAACACGCTAAGCCCAAAATAGCAGTTGTGCACTGCCAGGTCAGTCTGTCATTTCCAAGCCAAAGGGGAATTGACAGAAACCCCCTTTACAGGTCCAGTGTTTGTAAATATCCAATGAAATGACTTCATTCAGTCAATTATTTCTGGAGAAAGCTGGCAGAATAACGTAGTAATTAAATTGAGGACTGGTGGAAACTGTTAAACAGGAGAGGTATTTTGTTCAGCAGTTCTAGTTAATGCTTTTAATGCATTTTCATGTTTTAAAAATGCTTGAAATACTAGCACAATTAAAAGGAATCGCGTCTTCACTGAGAAACATATTTAAAATATTCCAGTGAGGACAGCGCATGGAAAAGGAAGGAGAAACTCAATTTTCCAGTATCTACTGAGTCAGAATTTATTTTAAGTATGATGAATTCTGCTGTGTTCAAATGTAAGTAGAAAGACATCCCAAAGCCAGAACATCATACAGCGAAGACTCAATGCCTGTGTGCTAGGTGCTCACTTCATAGTGAATATGCTGTCTGCAGCACATTTTTGCCCTGTCCGGTCTCCCATTGTCTCCTCCAACTGGCGACCAGTGTACATCTTGATTCCCATTCACTCATTCATTCACTCAAAAAGTAAGCCATCAGGCATAATTTTAATGTAGCCATAAACAAAACCACTTTATCACATTCTCTCTCCTAGGTGCCTAATGGTTATGTATTAGAAGACAGAGCAAAGTTGTAAGACAAAGTAACAAACTGGAATCCAAAAGCTAATGGGAAAATCTTTGAATGCTCCCCAAAGTAAAAGATAAGCTGTTAAATCACTATCATTTCATTTTTCAAAGATTCCTGCATATAAATAAACACCACCTTTCCTAGTACCTGATGCTGTGGATACAAAGGTTTAAAAAGGGCGCGGGGGGGTACTTTTAGGCTATCTGTTAATGGAGTAAAAGAAGTTGGCAAAAGTCAAGAACTTAGGGAAACCAAGTCAGAAAGTTCCAAAGCAGAGTGAAATTGGAAGTTCGTGACTAACAACACTTTGTGTTACACTTCACAAATACTTCTTATTTCTCTTTGTCAGAATACATGGTATTTCACTTACAAAAGATTCCTCTGGATGAGAAAACATAATCTTTTGAAAATGCAAATAACATGGGGTGTGTCTCTGGATGAGAAAACATAATCTTTTGAAAATGCAAATAACATGGGGTGTGAGGTTAAGGACTGTCAGTCATTCACACTCTGCTCATATGAGCCATATAAGAATTTAACGAAGTGTTTGCCAGTTATTTGTAAACTGGGGAATACTATAAAATCAGAATGGCAGGGCAGTTAAGATCATAGATTCTGAAGCCATACTGCCTGAGTCTGAATCCCGGCTGCAATTACTAACAAGCTAGGCAAATCTGCACAACGAAAAAACTGCTACCTGAGGCCTGAATCATATATGGGGATGAGATCCAAATTTATATTACAAATTGAAAAAAAAAAAATTACCTTAAATCTGGTTTAGAGCAACTGAAACTTCCAGAACCCAGGAAAACCAATCTGTAGAGACAGTCTCTCAACCCAAGGTACAAAGGGCTCTCCCAGAACAAAGAACTTCTTTGAATTTAATCTCCCAACAAAATATTATACATCATTTGAAGAAAATCCACTTACTGTGAGGGAGAGCCAACAGAAACAGATTTAGAACCTTGCAAACTACAAATTACCATTTTACACAAATGTTATCTTTTACTATAATCTTGCTCATGCTTTAGTTCTCATTCAGGGCTAACAAAACTTTTAAAAATACCATAATATCCACCTCTATTAAGATTATAGATAATTCCTGAAATTCACCCCTTGAGCTAAAGAAAGTTCATGTATAAAATTTAACATGGGGCATACAACATGGTTCATTTTTATTAGGTGAATTAGGTGGCTGGAGTCTACAAATGAGAAGCTGAATTCACTACCAGACGGCTACTGATCCCCACCTAGTACCTTGAAACTAATCTGTATCTTAGATTAATGTATTTAGTATACGTTAAAAAAATAAAATAGCCCTGGCCGGTTTGGCTCAGCGGTTAGAGCGTCCACCTGCAGTCCGGAGAGGCCCGGGTTCGGTTCCCGCTAAGGGCATGTACCTCGGTTGCAGTTTGTCCCCGGCCCTGGCCGGTCGTGCGGGTGGCAGCCACTCCATGTGTCTCTTTCACATCAATGTTTCCCTCTCTCTCTCCCTCCCGCTCTGTCTGTACAAAAAATGGAAAAATGTCCTCGAATGAGGATTAAAAAAATAATAATAAAAGAAAAAATAAAAAATAAAATAAATAACTGAATTAGTGTCTCCTCCGATCCTTTTGGGTGGCACTTTAATTTTTAAATGTTGGGAAAATGAGTCCACGTTGACAACGAAGCGCTTGTGCACACTGAAATTTCAGAACCCACTTTCAAGTGTAAAAGCTCGAGGGTTAGTAAGAGAAATTCCTTCCCCTTCTGACCACCTATCAAAACCTGAAATACTGTACTCATTTCAACCCTTTTCTCGGTGGGGTAGTTTCAAGCTGCTAATTTATGTCACTGTGTTAAAAACACTAACACACGAAAGTCGAAAGTCACTTCGACTTAACATTTAAATTCTTAAAATGTAAGCCAAAGTAATTTAGAAAAAAAAGAGAAAAAAAAAGGGCTGGATATAAGAGAAATTCGGACGACGGAATAACGGGCCTCTTCATCACCCCGTCTATGTGTACTTCGACAACGCTTGCATCTTTTCACCTTCGAAATCTTGCTAAAAAACGAGAAAACGGGAGCCGAGGCGGAAGCGGAACAATGGAGCCAGGACTTCGGGCGGGAGAAGCCTAAGGAACGCCTGCCCATCCCCCCGGGCCGACGTTTTCCATTGCCTTCTCGAACCCTGAACACGGACGAGCCCAGGTTTAACCAGGGAGGTTCGGACAGCTCCTGGGACAGAGGCTGCCAGTGTGCAAGAACCATTCCCCAAACACCCAGGGCTCCACCCACGACCACGGGAAGCAGGGGGACGCTACGAGACGCTGCTCCAGGTGTCTGTTCCCTCTCCATGAACGAGCCCGTCTGAGTGTCCCTTCGTCGTCAGACACCTAAGTCCGGCCGTTCTCTGGGCCAACCTGCAGGGTAATTTCAGCGCAGGTCTGAAGGGAACCTGCACACCAACCACAGCGCACACCTCGAGACCGCCAGGTAGCGGGCTCCGCCCCCGTGAACTGACACAGGACCCCACGGCGGTGACGTCCGCCCTTTCGCGCTCCCGAGTCGTAGCCACTTCTGAACTGCCTGTTCATTTCCGCCCTTATATTGCTCGCTATTTCCCCTCTCGTTTCTTGAAGCAATTCAGCCAACGGTCATAAGAGACGGCAGAGAGCGCGGAGCCAGCTCCAGGGGAAAGGAATGTGTGCGTGGCCCAGACTTCCGCCGGCAGTTTATCCGGCACTGCCGAGGGCAGCCCCGCACGAAGCCAGACCCGGCCGCGAGGAACAGGGGGCCTTAGGGGCCAAAGTTCGACGCGCTGATTGGCTGATCGGCGCTGCCGGGGAAGAACCCGGATGTGCCTGGGTAGTCGTGCTGGCAGTCGGGGCTCTGAGGTTTGGGCGTTCTGGGGGTGCTGGCAGCCCGGGCGGATGGCGCAGGGCTGGGCTGGCTTCTCTGAGGAGGAGCTGAGGCGACTGAAGCAGAGTAAAGGTAACAGGACGTCCCTGCGGAGAGTGAATTCCTGGGCCTGTTGGGAAGGGGCGGGGCTGCAGCCTTGGAGGGGAAGGGGGCGGGGAAGAGAAGAAGGTGTTTGTGTTGGAGGATGGAGCTGGAAACGGGGAGACCGGGTTGAGGGGCTCCCGAGGTGGCTGTACTGGAGCCGTGGTGGGAGGAGCGGGCCCAGGGGACTGGGATCTGCTCTTAGGAAGGAGGGTTTAGGAATCCATTGCAGGGTTTGACTTTCTCCTTGGAAAGGAATGGGACCTGGGAGAGGAGGTGAGCCTCCAGCCCGGCGGGCTCCTATAGGAAGACCGCGGTGTAGATCCATGGTGGAGGGTTGGGGTCGGGGTCGGGGTCGGGGTGAAGGAAGGAGGGGCACTCACCGTATTAGAATGGTGATGAATTCCTAGCCGCAGACGGTGACTGGGAAAAGGAGCGCACGGGGGTCTTAACGCAAAACGTCGGTGCTTTTCATAATACATCTGGAGTCCTGCATGCATTTCTGGTTGCCAGATGATGTTTGCAGTTCTTTCCAACCCGTCAGCAAACCAAAGGGGTCTTTAAGAGGTTAGATGTGAAATAAATAAGTAAATGTGCACATACACATACACCTACACAGCTGAGGTATAACCCAAAATGTTGTGCTTCCCTCTCAGGCTGTATGGAGTAGTCACTGAATGAACAACTTTGTTGTCTCTTTATGAAGGGGTTAAGCTTGTTGATACTTGGTGATACAAACCAGGCTTTGTTGGTGGTTGAAATTTCATAAAATTCTGTTTGGTGATCCCGGTGGTGCACACAACTTCTGTGACTTTATACTATTCTTGCTACCAAACTTATACACTGTACTTTGGGAGAAGATGAAATAAAACCCTGTCACGCCATTTATTATAGTGAGAAAATTGTATATTGCTTGGGTAGGCCTGTGCATGTTTAGCATAGATGTGAGGATACTCTAGAGCTGACAAGTGGAATAGGAAGTAAATTAGTAACATAGGACCAGTGTAGATTAAATGGATTGAGGAAATTTTGACTGGTCCAAAGGCCTTTAAACACGATACCATAAAAGTTATCCTACAGTGTGTAATTAACTGACTCTGTCTTGCTTGATGTTATCACATTCTTTTGCTCTGTGTTTTAAACATCCATTCACTTATTCAGATGTACAGACCACAAGTACCTCTGCTTCTTGTCTGACGAAGTTAAAGATATCAGCTTCTGTATTCGGGATGCTAAGGTGAATAAGGCCTCATCACTGCCTTCAATGAGTGTCCAGTCTACTGAGGAAACATGCTGTAATGTAACGTGATAGTAGATGTACAAGAGCTTGCTACCCAGAGCGCAGGAACCTCACCGCTGGGGGTTGGGTGGGGCTTGGGAAGACATCACAGAGATTATGTATTAGCAGAGCTGAGTTTGCTGGGGGAAAGACTTCATGTAGAAGTCTGAATTCAATAATAGGTTGATTATGTAGAAGTACATGTCTCAACATCCCTGCAATCTGGGATAGAGAGGGGTTGGAAGGACCTCAATTTTAAGGCCTGTCATCTCATAGCCAGATGTTAGAGTGTAGACACCAGCTCAGTGATCTACAATCACCTCGAGGAAGAGGAAACTTCACATCTTTGTATACTCAGCCAAATGCAGTGGTTGTCACATATTACCCAACTCTGCCTCTAAGTCTCTGAGCCTTGGATTTCTCATTTGTAAAACCAGGAAGAGCTGGATCTTTACTTTCGAAGCCTCCTTCCAACTGTTCTCCAACCGTAAAGAATAAATAAATAATCTATGAAAGTGAAGTTGGCTACCAGCAAATATAATAACAACAACTCTAGCCCTGGCTGGTTTTACTCTGGTTAGAGCGTGAGCCCAAGGGCTGAAGGGTCGCGGGTTCAATTCTGGTCAAGGGCATGTACCAGGGTTGCAGGTTCAATCCCTGGCACTGGTCCAGGTCAGTCAGAAGGCAATCAATCAATGTGTCTCCTCCCTCTCTCTGTCTATCTCTTTCTCTCTTTTTCTCTCCCTCCCTTCCTCCCTTCCACTCTGTAAAAAAACAAAACAAAACAACAACAAAAAAAAAACAATGGAAAAATAGGCTCAGGTGAGGATTAACTAAAAAAAAGAATAACAACTCTAGAGAAACCCATATGTGCATTGGTGGAGATCAAGAATGTTCTCAGCACTCTTCTTTACAATACTGAAAAGCTGGGAATAAACCAAGTGTTCATTAGCAAGGGAATGGGTAAATAAACTGTGGTATAATCATCTAGTGCACTACTATACAGCTAGTGGGAATATACAAACTATAATAGCCACATGCATGAACATGTATAACTTTCATAAACACAATGTGTGAAAACAAGTTGCAGAAGAATATATAGTCTGATACCATTTACAGAAGGTCAAAATCACAAAGGAGGTATATTTTAGGGCTGTAGGAAATCTATAAAGAAAATCAAGGGAATGAAACAAAATTCAGGGTGGTGGGGAAGCAAGGAGTGGCAAGTACGTAGGGACTTTCAAAGGTCGTGGTAATTCTGAAATTAGGTTAAGCCAAGTCAAGCCACAGTAACAGACAGTCCTAAAATATCAGTTGTGTAAAAAAATAAATAAATAAAGATTTGGTGACTCTGCTGTACATAGTGACTCCAGACAGTGCCTTGGTACTGTCCTGTAGGAGTTCACCAAGGCAGGAGGAGGAGAGGATTGAGAATTAAGCATTGGCAATAAATTCTTCCACTGATAAATAATAGGTGTCACTTCTACTTCTATTTCATTTAGCAAAAGCAAGTCATATGACTTGGAAGACAGGAAATACAATTATCTTGTGTGTTCCCAAAAAAGGGGGTAATGTTCTATCCTTGAATAGCAGTTATATCTACTATTGTCCTGTTTTATTTGTTAAACTGTATTGTTTTTTGTTTTTTTTTCATAATCCATACTGGGTGGATTGTGTGTGTGTGATACGTACATATTATTGGATGTATAACATTTCATACTGAAAAAAATGGAAATAAAACAGCAGTGCAGCTACAATGCTTTAATTATGTTTTCCAGTTGTTGTTGACATATAAGAAATGCAAATAAGCCAAAGAAAAATTAACAAAAGACATGCAATGGAAATATGAAGAGATGCTTATCACCATCAATAAGCAGAGAATTGCAAATCAAGAGCATAGTGAAATATTGCTTCACACCCATTTGATTGACAGAAATTAAAAAGTTCTTTCTCAGATGTGTCTGTTGCACATCATTTTCTCCCAAGTCTGTGAGTTGTCTTCTCATTCCCATGACATTCTTTTGCACAGCAGCATTGTTAAATTTTAATGAAGTCCAGCTTACCAGTTACCTTCTTCACGGACAGTGCCTTTGGTGTTATCTAAAGTCACTGCCACCCCCAAAGCCATCTAGGTTTTCTCCTGTTTTATCTTCTAGAAATTTTATAGCTTTTGAGTTTTACATTGAGGTCTTGGATTTATTTCGAGTTAATGTTTGTGCAGGGTGTAAGGTCTGTGTCTGGGTTTATTTATTTATTTTTACATGTGGCTGTCCAGTTGTTCCAGGACCATTTGTTGAAAAGAATTTTCTCCATTGTATTGCTTTTGTTCTTTTGCCATAGAGCAGTTGACTATGTTAGCCTGACTATTCTGTTCTGTTGATTGATTGTCTAGTCTTTTGCGAATACCGCCTGTCTTGATTACTGTAGCTTTATAATAAGTCTTGAAGTCAGGTAGTGTCGGGCCTCCAACGTTGTTCAACATTGTGTTGGCTATTCCGGGTCATTTGCCTCTTCGCATGAACTTGAGAAACAGTTTGTCAGTATCCACAAAATAATTTGCTGGGATTGTGATTGGGATTACAAAGAATCTATAGATCAAGATCAGAAAATGCATTTGTCTACCTAGCTTGGTCATATTAGGTGATACTTCTGATAATTATCTAATCAAGTTGAAAAAGAAACCTTGCTTTGTAGCCTAAGGCTTTCCAGACAAATGGCTTTCCTCGAGGATAAACTGAGATCTAGGACAGTTTTTGTTAAGTATTAACAGTGGGATTGAAGAACTGTTGAAACTGCAGGAAGATGGCTGTTTTTCCCTGGGCTTTTAAGATATGAGAAGGGGAGAAAACCTTGTAGAATTATCAAAGTTTAATGTTAGTCCTTTATTTTCTTAGAGAAAGTATAAGTGTCTGCTGTTCACACAAAGGAATTTTTCTTCATCTTCTTTTTTATATAGATCCATTCGAACCACAGCGGCGTCCCCCTGTGAAGAAAAGTCGACAACAGCTTCAGCGAGAAAAGGCCCTTCAGGAGCAAAGCCAAAAACTCGGACTGCGAGATGGATCGACCAGATTGCCTCCTGAGCAGCAGCTCTCTGCACCACAACAGAGATTTCATCACCAGGAGGCGCCCCCCCACGCCCTCGCTGCGCCTGGTTCTCTTACACTCACCGCTCCTGTTGGTAATGGAAACCCACAGGGCACGGAACGTCACCCAAGGGAGCTGGGACTGGAGAATTCCCGTGATGGTCACATGAGTGCCGAGGTTGTACCTCCAAGGCCAGATTGCAAATTGGAGAAAAAGAAAGTGGAATTGTTAGTAAGTCTATATTTCCATGGTTTGTTTTTTTTTCCATTTTACCTTTGTTTTTCTCACTGGGCTTTGAAGAAATGTGATTTTAACATTTTATCTGTTTTACCTTCTAACCTAGAAAGGTGATAAATACATTGTTGAAAAATAGCTACCGTGTAAGTATATTATAAGCCAGTCAGTGATAGGCATTTTATATGTTTCATGTCATTTAGTTTATAATTTTCACTGTATAGATGAGCTATTTTGGACTTAGAATAGCTGTTGTATTCTCAAAGCCAGTATGCAGCCAGTAAGTAGTAGAGTTGGCACACGCATAACGTTTTCTCTGAATCCAAAGCCTATGACTTGAACACTCACCAGAAGCCTTTCTTACATGCTTAGTACTCCTTCCCAAATTGAATGCATTCTTCAGCTTCCAGGCTGCGTTTTCATGGACCCAGAAAAGACATGTAGGGATGGTCAAAGGAAAGGGTAGGAAATTAAGGGGACTAATTAAATAATTCACTTGCATCATGAGATTTTTTTTTTTATTCTTATTTAATTTGCCTGTATTTGAAACCACCTCCAGAATTGTTTAGCCAGATTCTTGTGAAAATTGCCATTTTATGGCTTATAAATTCATAAAATCAGATATTATTTTACTATATGACTTACGTTTTAATATCTGTTTGTTTAGTACCTTATTTATTTCCTACGGGTTTATTGCTCCTAGGGAAGAAAGGATGGTATTTGTTTTTGTTTTCTATTTTCTGAGTCTTTCATTTTGAAAATTTTTTTCTAGCCTCAGGTATTTTTTTAATCTTTGTTGATCCAGATTTTGTACTATGACTATAAAGTGTTTCCAACAGGGGTTTATAACTAAGAAATTATTTTGCCAGGAGATGGATAGCTGTATGAATTATGAGACCAACATGGAACAAGAGTGTACATTAAATATCTTTTACCAACAGATAAAAGTGTAGTTTACCAACAGAGGCCCAGGACAAATGGGGGTGGGTTTGGATTGAGCTGGGCAATTTAGATAGAATGTCATGAGGAAAATTATTCATTTCTTAGATTGGGAGGATTTTCATAGAAGACATGTAATCTTAGGAACTGTTGTTGAAAAGGAGAAATTCAGAGGCTGTAAGAAGAGGAAAGGAAAGCTGTCTTCCAGAGAATGCTCAGAGGTGACATCTCTCTCCTCTGCAAGAGACAAAGGGTAGACCAGAGAAGAGTAAAGAATTAACAAAGGGAAGAAGGACCCGGAAGCAGAAGACCCTTCCCGGCAAGTTCCCAGACGCAGTGGTAGACCAGCAAGCCCCCTGCAGGAGAGAGGCCCTGATCAGAACAATGGCGAGAGAAGAGTCAGGTGTTAGTGTTGCAGATCATTTGAGAATGGGTGCCTCGTGGACTGGAACCAGGGCATCCGGGAGGAAAAACCAACCAGCAGTAGAAATGAGAAAGGACTGGTGCCATCGCTAAGGGGGAAGCTGTAGGGATGGAGAGAAAAGGATCATTGTAGAAGAGGATACTAGGTCTGGGAATAGATGTTTTTGATATACTGGCTGTAAGACAATAATAGGAACAAGTAGCTTTGTCATTATCTAGTTTAATTTGAGTTGACATCAAGTTGATGAATTTATGGGAAGTTTTAATATACTTACAGAAATAGACAGATTGGAAGACAGTTCATGTTTTCAGACCTTTGAAGTTTTTCTTTAGCCCAGCGTTCAAGTTTGTGTTCATTGTGTTTCACTCTGTATGAAAGTGTCTGAGAGCTGGAAAGAAGTGAGCAGATTGAAAGCAAATGAATGAAATAAACATTGATTATTGTCCTAAGGATGTTACATGGTGGAGACTTTCATTATAGAAAACTGTGGAGTCACTTCTGGTCAAGATGGCGGAGCAAGTAAGTGCTGTGCTCGCCTGCTCCCAACGCATCCAGCTAACAGCTAAATTATAGAACCACCATCCTGAAGGACCACCTGGAAATCAGCTGAACAGAACTCCTCTAACTAAAGATATACAGAGAAAGACATGACGAGACTGGTAGGGAGTCAGAGACCAGGAACAGGCCGTTCCCACACTCTTGGTGTGGCGATTAAGAATCAGGGGGGATATCTTGCCTGTGGAGGTTCCCCATTGAGGAGTGAGGGGTCCTAACCCCACACCAGCCCTCCAGCTCAGGGCACCAGTGCTGGGAAGAGGAGTCCCCACAGCATTTGGCTGTGAAATCAACAGGGATTGCACCCAAGTGAGACAGAGGGCTGCTGGAGTCCCAGGCTCTGTCCTGGAAGAGCCTATGGGCTTGCTCACTCACAAACTCGTTTGAGTCATGCGAGGAGGAAGTGAACTGCCTCGCTTTTGTGAGGGCTGGAGGGGCGGGTAGCTCACTCTGGGCACAGAAGCACTGGCAGGTGCCATTGTTCCTTTGTTGGGCCCAGCACATGCAGGAGCCAGTCTTGGCTATCCAGTAACAGAACACTGTTTGACCCATCCTGGTGAATCCCTGAGACCTAACCTCATTCAGTTGGTGGCCTGCCTCAGCTCATGCTGTGGACTTTTCCTAAAATCTTAAAGGTCCACAAACCAAACAAGCAGCAGCTCTTTTTGCCTTGCCCTGTACCTCTTGCTAAGCAGCCTTGAGCTTGACACAAGTGATGACGGGTATCAACTTGCATAGTAACTCCTATCACAAGGCCCCTGGCCTGGCATAAGCTGTAGCCAGTACAGACGTGGAACACAGCTTCAGTCAAGTGGCCACAAGCCCAGCACAAGTGGTACACTGACCTGAGCTCAAATCATGGTGTCCACCAAAGGATCCCAAGCCTGGCACTAGTGGCAGTGGCCTTGGTTTCACAGCATAGCCTCTCCCAAGCACCTCCCAGCCCTGCACAAGCAGCAGGCAATTACAGATCATGTTGTAGCTTTCAGCAGAGGCTCACCTTGGTCTGCAGTGCAGCTCCTCCAAAGAGGCTTCAGAACCAACACAACCAGTGACCACCTTCAGACCATACCATACATCACCTAACCAGCTCCACAAATGACACACCCAAAGGGTGAACTTAGCTGGCACTACAGCCCAGCTGAAGAGCTCCCTACACAACAGCTTCTCTGCTGTAGTCACAGCCCACACAGCAAGTACGTCTGAGGGGCAATCACACCCACTGATGTGCCAATAGCAGTCAAAGCTCAACTACAGTAGGAGGGTACACACAACCCACACCAAGAGCACCTGGCTTAGGTGAACAGGAAGACTGCACCACAGAGTCTCACAGGACACTTGCTACATAAAGCTACTCTGCCAAGACTGGGAGACACAGCAGACCTATCTAATACGTAGAAACAATCACAGGGAGTCAGGCAAATTAGGAGACAAACATTTTCCAAATAAAAGAACAGAAAAACAACAAAAAGGAGACAAGCAATCTACCAGATACAGAGTTCAAAACAGTGGTTATAGAATGTTCAATGAACTTAGGGAAAGAATAGATGAACTCAGTGAGAACCTCAAAAAAGAGAGAGAAATTGTGAAAAAGCGGTCAGAAATGAAGACTACTGAAATGAAGAGTACATCAGATGGAATCCACGGCAGATTAGATGAAGCAGATGATCGAATCAGCGATCTGAAAGACAATGTAGCAGAAAATACCCATTGGAATAGAGAAAATAATGTTTTTTAAAAAAATGAGGACAGTTTAAGGGAACTCTGGGACAACATTAGTATACCCACATTCTCATCAAAGGGTTGCCAGAAAGAGGAGAGAGAGCGAGCAAGAGATTGACAACCATTATTTGAAGAAATAATGATTAAAAACTTCTAACCTTGCAAAAGAAATAAACAAGTCCAGGAAACACAGAGAGTCCCAAACTATGTGAGCCCAAAGAAGCCCACAGCAAGACACATCATAATTAAAATGCCAAAGGTTAAAGACAAAGAATCTTAAAAGTAGCAAGAGAAAAGCAATTAGTTATGTATGAGGGAACTCCTATAAGATTATCAGGTGATTTCTTGACAGAAATGTTGCAGGCCAGAAGGGATTGGCATGAATATTCAAAGTGATCAATGGCAAAGACCTATAGCAAAAATTGCTCTACCCAGCAAGTTCATCATTTAGAATCAAAGGAGAGAGTTTCCCAGAAAGGAGTTCATCACTACTAGACTAGTAGTATAAGAAATGTCAAAGGGACTTCTTTAAGTAGAAAAGATCAAAACTGTGAATAAGAAAATATAGGAGAGAAAGAAATCCTCACTGACAAAGGCAAACATATAGTAAAAGCAGTGGATCAACCAACTGTAAAGCTAGTAGAAAGGTTAAAAGGCAAAAGTAGAAAGATCATGTGTAATTACAGTTACACATAAACACACACAAAAGAAGTAAAAGAGAATGGCAACATAAACACGGAGGGGGAGAGTAAAAATTGTAGTGGTTTTAGGATGTGTTCAAACTTAGGCAACCATCAACTTGAAATAGACTGCTCTCTATATATGTAAACATAGTTTGGTATATATGAAATACATGGTAACCACAAAGCAAAAATCTCTAAGAAATATACAAGAAATGAAGAGAGAGGAATCCAAACACAACTATAGAAAGTCATCAACATAGAAGAGGACAAGAGAATAAGAAAGGAACAGAGAAGGACTACAGAAAAATCAGAAGACAATAAAATGGCAATAACTACATACCTATCAATAATTATATGTAAATAGACTAAATGCTCCAATCAAAGGACATAGGGTAGCTGAGTGGATAAAATAAGACCCATAACACATGCTGCCTACAGAGACTTCAAATTGAATGACACAGAGACTGAAAGTGAAGGTGTGGGAAAAGATATTTTATGAAAATGGAAATGAAGAAAAGGCTGGGGTAACAATAATTATATGAGACAAAATAGACTTGACAACAAGGGCTGTAATGACAGACAAAAAAAAAGGGCATTTCATAATGATAAAGAGATCAATCCAACAAGAGGATATACCTCTTGTAAATATCTTTGTACCCAACATAGGAACACCTAAGTATATGAAGCAAATATTGATGGACATAAAGGGAGAGATCAATAGTAATGCAGTAGTAATGGGGAGCTTTAACGCACCATTGATATTAATGGATAGAGCATCCAGGCAGAAAATTAAGGAAACAGTGGCCTTCAATGACATATTAGATGGGATGGATTTAATTGATATTTGTAGGACATTTGACCCCAAAGCAGCAGAATATACATCCTTTTCAAGTATATGTCCACAAGGAACATTTTCCAGGATAGACCATGTGGGGCCCCAAAACAAGTCTCAATAAATTTAAGATTGAAATCATACCAGGCATCTTCTCTGGTCACAGTGATGTAGAACTAGAAATTAATTACAAGAATAAAACGGGGGGGTGGGGGGAAACACACAAACATGTGGAGGCTAAATGCTACTAAAGAGACAGGAATATACAAGGGGAAAAAAAACAGTCTTCTCAATAAATGGTGTTGGGAAAACTGGACAGATACATGCAAAAGAATGAAACTGGATCACTTTCTTATACCCTATACAAGAATAAACTCAAAATGGATTAAAGACTTAAATGTAAGACCAACACCGTAAAACTGCTAGAAGAAAACAGTAAATTCTTTGACTTTGCTTTTAGTAATATGTATATAATTTGGATATGTCTCCTTGGACAAGGGATACAAAAGAAAAAATAAACAAATGGGAGTACATGAAATGAAAAGTTTTTGCACAGCAAATGAAACCATGGCCAATATGAAGACAGCCTACTGAACAGGAGAAGATATTTGTCAACGATACATCCAATAAGGGGGGTTAATACCCAAAATATATAAGTAACTCATACAACTTAACATCAAAACAAAATCCAATTAAAAATGGGCAGAGGATCTGAGTAGACATTTCTCCAAAGAGGACATACAGGTGGCCAATAGACATATGAAAAGATGCTCAACATCACTAATCATCAGGGAAATACAAATGAAAATGACAATGAAATATCACCTCACGCATGTTAGAATGGCTGTTATCAATAAGACAAGAAATAACAGGTATTGGAGAGGACGTGGAGAAAAGGGAACCCTCGTGCACTGTTGGATTGTAAATTGCAGCCACTATGGAAAACAATATGGGGATTCCTCAGAAAGTTAAAAATACAACTACATATGACCCAGCAATTCCAATTCTGAATATTTATCTGAAGAAATTCGAAACACTCATCGGAAGAGACGTGCACACATATATTCGTTGCAGCATTATTTACAGTAGCCAAGATATTGAAGCAACCTAATGAATGAATAAAGAAGAGTGGAACATATGTACGGTGGAATATTAGTCAGCCATAAAAAATGAAATCTGGCCATATGCAACAACATGGATGGACCTAGAGGATATTATGCTAAATGATTTTGCTTATATGTAGAATCTCAAATACCTTATGATTTTGCATATATATAGAATCTCAACAACAAATGAACAAACAAAACAAACAAACTCATAGCTACAGAGAACAGATTGATGGTTGCCAGTTGGGAGGGGGTTTGAGGAGATGGGTGAAAAAGATGAAGGGATTAAGTACAAATTGGCAATTATAAAAATAGTCCCAGAGATGTAAAGTACAGCATAGGGAATATAGTCAGTAACATTGTAAATACTGTATGGTGTCACATGGGTACTAGATTTATTGGGGTGATGACTTTGTAAGGTATATAAATGTCTAATCATGTTTTTCACCTGAAATTAATATAGTATCATATGTCAACTGTAATTAAAACACTTTTAAACTAACTAAATAAATAAATGCACATTCGACCTGGAGAAAAATAAAAACTTTCTAGGCATAGAAAGAAGCAGGAAATTGTGATGCATAACCAGGAGGAAAGTCATCAAAAGAAACAGACCCACAAACGATGGGAATTATCAGGCAAAGAATATTTAAACAGCTATTATAAATATGTTCCATGTGTCCAGGAATGGAGAATAGAAAGTAATTTAATGATTAAATCACTAAAAATGATTTTTTTTAAAAACTTTGAAAGATATAACATGATATTAGCTACAGACCTATTTCTTTTGCTCTCCATTTTGCATATAATACATAATTAACTTACACAAGTTTCTTTGTACTTCTAAAAAATGCCACACTATTCTGGCTTCCAGTTTGTGGGTTCCTAGGTTATATACATATAATGGATTTCAAAGGGCCAATTTATGTAAGCCTTCTTTACTTCAAATCATAGTCTTTGTTTCTATTAGAACAAAATAATGAGCTGCAGATGGGTTCCTTTTAAAAGGACTTTTAAAAATATATACATAATCTGGCTGATTAAATTTTATATGTAGGGGACCGAGACTGGAAAGGTGTGGGGTGGGGTTTCAGAAACTCATTTTTATACTTTTTTGCTCCCTAGGCAAGAAAAGTCTCGTTGGGAAGTCCTCCAACAAGAACAACGGCTAATGGAAGAGAAAAATAAACGTAAGAAAGCTCTTTTGGCTAAAGCTATTGCAGAAAGGTGAGGCACCTGAACGGGAGAGCTTGTTTGCCGCCTGCAGTCAGCTCCAGCATGTGTATCTCTTTGTTCCCATGTCTGTTCTGATAAACTGACATCTCCTTTAAGGCTAACTGAACAAATTATGCTTTATAAATGACACTGATCTCATTTAAGTATAGATCATAGCAAATTTACAGGTGATACAGGTACAATTAAAACTTCAGGATCAGCGGCAGTGTTTGGGGTTTTAACCATCTGCGCTTTCGTAAGGGAGCAGTAAATCACTATCAATATGAGTAAGCTGTTTAAATATGCAAGTGTTTGTTTTGATGTGAGGTGTCTTCACCTCTAACATAGAAGAGTAAGATTGTTCCATACAAGTACTTGTATACGCCCATAAATCTTGTGTTTCCTAGGGACATTTTTAAAAAAATAATTATTCTGCCCCCACTGATAGAAGATACATGATGTAATTTAACCTTTCATCAACGACTCGGGTCACCACTGTAAGCACGGTCCCATGGCAGTGTGTCCGAGGTTCCCCCGCCCCTTTTTTTACTGCATCGTGCTGGCCTCGAACTGCAACATTCCCAGTGGAACTGCTCTTCTCACCCCTCCCCCACTCTTTCTACCCCTTTGGTTGGTAGTTGCTCATGTGCTGTGGCCTTAGGAAACCAAGCCTAGTCACTAGAGCAGTAACTGAGGACAGAGAACGAGACGCAAGCAAGTATTCAGTGGCATTTTCTTTTTAGATCTCCAGGAAAGTCTGGCAAAACTGTCATTGAGTGAAACTGGCATATGTGTTAGGGAGGGGAAGGAATAGGGATGGAGAGATAGGCGGGTGGGTATAATAGTAATGCAGAATTGTATCTGCCGGAGGGATACAGTATCTATTGGGAATGATTTCCCCTCCTGGTATACCTTGATCTTTCCTGAAACACAGGGAATCATGCTAATTACCGAATTTATATTTCAAGGGGGGAAGAAATGATTGTTGAAAAGCGATTATTGGAAAGCACTTTAGTAGTCTTCAATTTGGAAGAGGTTTGAGGGGCTTTTACTGGGGATTTTACAAAAAGATTTACATGCTTCTCACATGTTCTTCTGTATATGCTTTTGATTTGAGACAAAACGCACTGGTGTAGACAGAGATGTAAGGAAATCTAGCCGGGTTAGGTTACTAATCAATGGACAGTGAAGTACAGTACTTCCAGTGAAAGAATCGTACTGGTAACTTTTATAGTCAGAAGACAAGAGTAGATGCATAAATAGAGTAGAAATCAGGAGAACGTAAGTTGCAATATGTTGGTTTTATGTGAGAGTTTTATTCTCTTGTAAGAATGTGTGTGAAATTTTGGAATGAATGAAATCATGATTAAAGGTTGGCTTTTTTGTCTTTGTTTATTCTGTTTCTTAAGTGTGTAATGTACTTGGGAGTTATGAGGGGACTAAGAGATGGTGAGGTTGGATGCGCTCTTAAACAAGAAAAAAAGTGCTTGGTTTTGAGGCCCAGAAAGAACAGTTTTGAGGACCTACCTGTAGTTTTACCTGAAGATCAGGAATCAAAGCAATAACAGCTTGGGGAAATGGGTCTTAAGAAAGTTAAAACAAATAGATGTTTCTAGACATACAAAGAAATGGTGTTTGATGCAGGCATCTCTTCTTGGAGCACCTCGGTATCAGACAGATGGAAAGGCGCTAGAGATCTGGGAAGCTGGGTCTGAGCTGCAGTGTAAAGAGAACACAGATACACTGTTTCAGTGCTTATTCTTGTCCTTAGGGAGTGAGTATGGACCTATAAGTGAACTGTTGATACACTGTTCCGTCTTTTCCCCTTGTATATAAAAATCATATATACCAATGGAAAATTCAGAACTGTAAGGGAAAGAAGCACGGATATACCAAAATGTTACCAGCCTTTGATTTATTTCCATTTCTCGTTTTTTCTAGTTTTAAAAAATTGTACACTATAGTCATAGTATATGTACAGTAGCTTGCTTTTTTCACTTATGTTGTATGTGGATACCTGGTTTTAGGATGTTTTTGTTTTCCCACTCATGTTCCTAATTTTCTAGATCTAAAAGAACTCAGGCAGAGACCGTGAAACTGAAGAGAATCCAGAAGGAGTTACAGGCCTTAGATGACATGGTGTCAGCTGACATTGGCATCCTCAGGAACCGGATTGACCAGGCCAGTCTGGACTATTCAAATGCTCAGTAAGTTGGGGAAGTGGGATTCCGAACAAGCATTTCGATTTAATTAATGTTTATTGCTGGCTGGGTCGAGACCCTTTATGTGTGTCATCATTTAAGCCTCAGAGCAAGCACAGGAGGTGCTGGATTTTTCTTGTTTTGGAGTAAGTCGTGTCAAGTGCGCCTCCTCCTGGAAGTCTTCCTTTACGTTGCCCTGCTGGTTAATCTTACTCATATTCCTGTTAGTAGTTCTTGCATTATTTATTTCCATTTTAGTCTCCCCCGCTAATGCATCAGGTATTTAGTGTTTGGGACTCTTTAAATATCTGAGTGACTTGCCTCAAAACTGTAATTCTAATGTGCTCTTTCTGTTAAGAAATTTTGATTGAGATGCTCCCTAGGGATTAGCCAGCCTCGTTCTCATTTCAGTTTTTATTAAAGAAAGATCTAGTTTATTTTGTTAAAGCTTATGAGTATTTTAAAGAAAATCTGTCTCGAAAGCTTGAAGTTTTTTCTTTTCGATTATATTCTGTATAAAATGGTTTGCTATCACGTGCTTCCTTGGTTTCAACCATTGGCATTTTTAAGAGAAAAAATATCATCATGGAGTATTTTCAAAATGAACTTAACACATGTAAAGAATTACATGAACTTTGCAAGCAGATAAAAAGGCAAAAAATTAAGTCCAATTTCAGGGTTTTCAGTCCTTCTAACATTGCTTTCTTTAATCATCCTGGTTTGTCTTTTTCACAAGGGAATGCTGTGTTAATGACTCGGGTTTGCATCTTTCTCTGTAACACTAGAAATCAATCAGAATGCCTCATTAGTCCAGGGTAAACCACAGCATCAGAATGTTTATATAACAATTTAATAAAGCGGAAATGCTTGATTGTGGTTTTTAATTCACTGTTTATTGTTTAAGAAAGAGGTTTGTGGTGTCCTTGTGATTTTTGTAATTGTTGTTTGACCATGTGCTGTTAGATTTAATGGGTTGCCTAAATTAATGCCATCAGTAGCTGATAACTAGAGGTTCCAGATTTCTACTAATAAGGTCATTAAAGAGGTGACCAAGATTTTATTAAGATTAAACTAAGCCTAGATATTTAGCACATTTTATTCTCTGTAGCTTAAGGTTGCCAGAGGAAAAAAAAATTTTTTTTTGCCTTTGTAGCCCTTTATATGAATAATTCAGATTACTCTGGATACTTCAACAGAAAAATCATCTATGTTTCAGTTCTAACCTAGAGGAGGCTGGAGAAGGATGGATGCCTTTGTATGGTGAACATTATATTTCAAAAATTTCATAGTTTTAGCCTTCAGAGGACCACAAAGAAGGTGAAATAAAGGCGGAAACATCCCATAATACAGAAATATTTGTAATGAAATTCTAGTAAATTTTTACATAATAAAAAAATTACGCATGGTAAATTTTTTACATCTCAGCAAGCTCAAAATGACAATTTCTCATGGTACTGATACTGACATCATTGTGTGTGAATGTCCACATAGCATGTGTGAGACTTATTTAAAATCTTACAGACAGTTGTGACTAAAGCCAGAGTTGTATCTTGTTCATGTATAAGATTAAGACATTTTCTATATTTATGTCTGTGACCATTGAGAAATTACAGATTGGTGTTACAGTATTATGGTCTAGATCCCTACTAATCCCCAGGGTGGTCCATTTCTGTGGGAGATTTCCTTGATTTTTTATATAGAGTTCTAAGCGCTGTGCCCACCAGAGCTCCCGGGATGCTGCACAGGCTGACCTCCGCGGAGCCGGCTGCGGGCCCAGTGCCGGGCAGACTCCACGGGCAGCACACCGGGCCCAGTGCCGGGCAGACCCGAGCAGGCAGCACACCGGGCCCAGTGCCGGGCAGACCCCGCGGGCAGCACACCGGGCCCAGTGCCGGGCAGACCCCGCAGGCAGCACACCGGGCCCAGTGCCGGGCAGACCCCGCACGCAGCACACCGGGCCCAGTGCCGGGCACACCCCGCAGGCAGCACACCGGGCCCAGTGCCGGGCACACCGCGCCACCTTGGAGCTGCTGCTGCTGCTTCTGCTGCTCTCGGCGGCAGGACCACAGCGCTGCCAGGTGCTGCGCAGACCAGCTCGTAAAGCTCGAGGGGCCCTGTGAGCGTCTCCTTAACCCTCCACGCACCGGGAACGGTCACCAGTCTGTCGTCTCCGTCTCAGGCACTCCCACGCGCACACACGCATGTGCACCTACAGGCACCATGTTTGAAGTCATTGTACAAGTGATGTACAGAAGTGAGAATGAAATGGATTGTGGAAAACAACTTCATTAAAAATTGTAACGAGCCCTGGCCGGTTTGGCTCAGCGGTTAGAGCGTCGGCCTGCGGTCCTGAGAGACCCAGGTTCGGTTCCGCTAAGGGCATGTACCTCGGTTGCAGTTTGTCCCCGGCCCTGGTTGGGTCGTGTGGGTGGCAACCACTCGACGTGTCCCTTTCTCGTCGATGTTTCTCTCTCTCTCTCTCCCTCCCACACTCTATCTGAACAAAAAATAGAAAAAATGTCCTCCGGTGAGGATAAAAAAAAAAAAAAAAATTGTAACGAGCATGAAAACATCGCAAACCTCTTGGGGTTTTTTTTTTGTTTTTTTTTATCCTCACCCAAGGACAATTTTGCATTTATCTTCAGATAGAGCGGGAGGGAGAGAGGAGGGAAAAGAGAGAGAGGAAAACATTGATGTGAGAGAGGCACATCAAGTGGCTGCCGCCCGCACAACCCCAACCAGGGCGGGACAAACTGCAACTGAGTATGTGCCCTTAGCGGAACCGGGACTCTGGTCCACGGGCCAACGCTCCAACTGCTGAGCCAGACCTCTTTGTATAAAGTAATGTTTGACTGCAAAACTTAGAAAAACACTGAAAGAATGCGGCTATATCCTTTCAGCAATACAGGATGGTCCAGATACTTGTAAAATACCGAGTGATTGAATTCTCCCTAGTGAAACTGTTAATTATGAAAATAACATGTTTTTTTGTTATTCTCTTTTCACTCATTGATCCTGGGTTTGAGAACTTTCATCTAGGATGTTCTGAGATTTCACTTACACGATCAGTTTCACCCACTAGAATCTAGACTGTCTGTGTGTGCATTTGTGTTGGTTTCCTAGGGCTGCTATAACAGGACAATCTGGGTGACTTAAAACAGCAGAAATTTGCTCTTACGTTTTCTGGAAGCCAGAGTCTGAAATCAGAGTGTCGGCCGGATCGCTCTTCTTTTAGAGACTCTAGGTTCTGGGGATTAGGAAGAGAATCGCTTTGTGGGGTCAGTTTTCAGTCTACCACAACATTTACCTTTTGACTTATCTAATAACTGCAAAATGTTTTCATCTGTCACTTTTCTTTACTTTGCTATTAGGACCCAAAATTTTTCAACATACTAATTCTCAACTGTGTTCAATGAAAACTGGGAGTAGATTACAAATATGGGGTTTCCAGTCTCTTATACCTACTTGAAAGGTGATGTCATACTTTGGACAACACAGTAAGGAAATTAAATGGTGGCAATATATTTCATTATAGCATCATCCTTTTATTTCATCATTCTCTTCTTATGATTTTAATTTTTTTTTTTAGCATAGATAGGAATAATTAGTAACAAGAAAATACTTCCTAGGGTAATGAAATGGCAAAGTGTTTCAAGATACAGGAAGAATAATATCTCAACAATCCGATAATGTACCCTAGATATATAAAGGGATCCAGTGGACCCCTGTAGTAATCTTAAAATATAATTAGTTTTATTCAAATATAAGTATATTTTCTCTTTGTTCTCTGGAAGACCTCTAAGAAAGGATTTTTTAAAAAGCATGTTGATCCTTATAAATAGTTATAATTGCTCATAAAAGGAACTGAAAATCTAAAATGGATCAATGGAACCTAATGGCAGGCCAAGGGTTAATGACTGAATTTAAAAACAAACAAACAAACAAAAAACATTTCAGGGATACCAAAACCAAGGCATGGTTTCTAGAATCCTTTAAATAACATCCATTAAATCATTCACTGTCCCTTTAAAATAACAAAATGATTCTATAACTACATTTCAGCTCAATTTCTCTTACTGTGTTATGTATAATGCACTTATTATTCTGTTCCAAAGTGTGTCATCAGACTGATTTGGTACATCCACCTGACCTCCAGGCCCTTAGTGCAGTTTATGAAACTAATCAATTCTTTAAACATAAATCACTCTGTACAAGATTATATATGCATGTTTCTGGCCAGAAGGACTTAAATAAATAAACAAAATGCAGAATCTTCCATGATTTATCCAGGGAGAAAGATCGATGAAAACCTGGGGACATATTTGCAGATTGTAATTTCAATTCAGCATTCATGAGTCCAGTTAGTAAATCTTTCCTGCCTGACTTTGACCGACTGAGGGAGACCACAGACTCGCAGAGAAAGGAGGTTTGAGTGGGGGGAAGAAGCCAGGTATTCATGTACCTGTAGAGTGTTGTCGGAGCTCTCTGGCTAGATGCCAGCACGTTCACACACAGGATATGTCACGCAGTGTGGAAGTCAGAGACCCACATCTGCAACAGAGCTCCTTTAGAACAACTCTCTTAACACGGAGGGCAGTGGAAGAACAGCTAGTTTTCTTGTTCTTATGTTTACTGGACAACAGTAAAAACAACAAAAAAAAGAGAAAGAGCCCTGGCCGGCGTGGGTCAGCAGTTAGAGTGTTGGTCCGCGGACCAAAGAGTCACGGGTTCAGTTCCGGTCAAGGGCACGTACCTTGGTTGCGGTTTGTCCCCGGCCCTGGTTGGGTGTCATACGGGAGGCAACCAGTCAATGTGTTCCCCCCTCCCGCCCCCATCTGAGATAAATGGAAAAATATCCTCGGGTGAGGATTTTAAAAAGAGAGAGAGAGAAAGAAATATGATAATAGTGTGTAAGTTGGAGTTTTCAAGTATAAACACCAGATCCTTACATTTTGCATCATTTTGATTTTGGATACATATTATTGATATACTGACAGTGCTTTTTGAGTCTGGTGCTCCGGAGGGAGGTTCTGTTTCTTGAGCACCTACCAAGTGCTGGACCAGACACTTGCCCTGCTCACATCACTTAATCCTATCACTCCTGTGAAGTATCATCATCGCCATTTCACAGATGAACCAAGACTCAGTGGGAGAAACTACCTGGGGTCGGTGAGGTCCAGTCACTGCATGCCTCATCTCCAGCCCCTTCCACGGGAACTGGCCGTGCTTTGTCCTCAGGATGCCGAACCTGGGCATCTCCGATTAGACTAAGGATGAACCACCAGCTCCAGAGCATGTAATCCATAGGCTAGACAGGTGCAGAGCATGGGCTGGAGCTGTGAACTATGTGAGGAACAGAGACCCATCCAGACGAGCCCGGGTGGAAAGTGGGTCTCACTGCCGGGTACGAGAGGCGATCTCGGGCGTGTCGTCAGAACCAGAGGCTGTCCTCGTCAGTGCTCAGACAGCAGCTCCCCGAGCGTGTCGGCTTTCCTGCTGCTCACGGCCCAGGTGGCCGCCGCTGCGCTCTGCGCGAAGCCCACCCACTCAGGCTCTGTGTTCTGGCTCCAAAGCTGCAGAGGGAGGGCCTGGGTGGGCCGTTTACCTGAGCTGGTTTGACTGGGTCTCTTCTTCACACCCAGGAACAAACAGGAACACACATAGCAAATGGCAAAGGCAGGTTTAGAACTCTGGATTTTCTAAAATCAAAGGCTTTTCTTTTTTTCTACTATGTTTCCTTCCAAGACAGAGAATCTTGCAGTAGGAGATATGCCTGTTTCTTTTTTGCTATAACTCTAGTACTAGAAATTACTTATGACATTGAGTTGTGTAGACAGAACAGGTAAGGCAGCATGTCCTTCACAACTACTAGTGGAAATTGAATAATTAGTTGGCAAATGCGGATCAAATTATTTTCTTGGCAAAAAAAGCAACAAATTATATAGAAAAGGCAAAAGACAGTGAACCAACATATAGTTTTTCTCGAAAAGGGGAAAGCACAGGGTAACTTACCCAGTAGAATTACCTTACTTCAAATAAGACTGGCATTACCTATCTATAGAGTTCATATATCTATAAATATAAAATTTCCTGGTAAAAGTCTAACAGTTGTTGCAGAATGGAGATGTGAGAACAGCTTGACCCAGGAATTCCCAAGTGGGACTTTATTGCCCTTTGGAGACATTTGGTAATATTCTGGGGACAATTTTGGTTGTCACAACTAGAGGGCGCCAGTGGGAGCAAGCCAGTGAGGCTCCCCACCCAAGGTTGTGTGGGGCAGCTCCCCACAACAAAGAGTTGGATGTTGCCAGTAGTGCCAAGGTTGAGAAACCCTTCCCAAACACATCCTGAAGTTTTCTTTCCTACTTGACTTTTACTTCTTGCCGGCCCGCAGCATCATGTGCTTGGTGTGCTCGTTCCTGTTTAGCGTCCTCTCCCAACCAGAGTCTGTGTCCTTCACCTCCACAATCTTTCTTCCTTTCGAATCCGTTAATCAAGAGACACAGATTTCTCAGCAACAGAATCCGATTAAAATGGGCAGCGGACCTGAATAGACGCTTTTTCAAGGAAGACATACAGATGGCCAACAGATACATGAAAAAAAAGCTCAACATCACTAGTTACAAAGGAAATGCAAATCAAAACCACAACGAGCTCTCACCTCACACCTGCGAAAATGGCTGTTCTCAATAAGAGAAGGAGTAACAGGTGCTGGGGAAGATGTGGAGGAAAGGGAGCCCTTGCACACCGCTGGTGGGAGCGTAGATTGGTGTAGCACTGTGGAAAACCTTCATTCTGGAGGGCTCTCAAAAAATTAAGAGTAGAGCTACCCCATGTGACCCAGCGGTCCCTTTTCTGGGTATCTGCTTCCAAAGTTTGAAAACACTCATTGGTAAAGCTGTATGTACCCCTATGATCATTCCAGTATTGTTCACAACAGTCAAGACATGAAAACAACCTAAATTGGATGATTGGATAAAGAAGATGGGGGTACATATATACAATGGAATATTACCTAGTCATTAAAAAGATGAAATACTACCATTTGCGGCCACATGGATAGATCTTGAAAGTATCATACTGTGAAATAAGTCAGACGGAAAGGACAAGAACCAGATGATTTCACTCTATGTAGGATATAAAACTGAAAGCCACCAATGAACAAACAAGTAAAAAAACTCAGCTAGAGACAGAATGGTGTTTACCAGAGAGGAAGGGAGGTGGAAGAGGCTAAAGGGGGTTAAATTATGGTGACAGAAGAAGACTGGACTTTGGGTGGTGAGCACACAATAGAGTACACAGATGTATTATAAAGATGTACACCTGCCTGGCTGCTGTGGCTCAGTGGTTGAGCCTTGACCCAGGCACCAAGAGGTCGCCGGTTTGATTCCTGGTCAGGGCTCATGCTCAAGTTGTGGGCCAAATCCCCAGTGGGGGGCATGCAGGAGGCAGCCAATCAATATTCTCTCTCATCAATGTTTCCATCTCTCTCTCCCTTTCCTCTTTCTCTAAGATGAATAAAGAAAAAAAAAATTTTAAAGATGTACACCTGAAACTTAGGTAATGTGATTGTTAACAAATGTCACCCAGATTAGTTTACGTAATAGAGGCACTTTCTCCATCTCTTTCACCACTCAGAGATCGGACCAGCTGTGTGCTGGAGCTAGTTCATGAGAGTGGATTTTGTGTATTTTTCCCCCAATTCTACATTCAGTCACATTGATAGCTTGAAATGGGCCACGATGGTAGTATTCACACTGTAGAAACCGCCGAGCGCTGCGGATCAGGGCTCGCCCCCTCCAGAGCTAGCAGGCCCTGCACGGACTCCCCGGCCTGCTCTCACTCCCGCGCAGCCTTGGAAAGAGGAAACGGTGCAGAAGAACGTCGTTCTGCTCGTGAGAGTCCGAGGCTGGAGGTTGTGGAAGTTTCAGCAGCAACAGCCTCGTCTGTCTAACACGTAGACAAGTGTTCACAAAGTGTTAATATCCATATCTTCATTATACATTGTGACCAAATTCTGGAGCTGAATGATTGCTTCTCAGCCCTCCTTTCTGCGATGGAGAACTAACGGACCAATCTTTGTACCTGTCCCTACAGGAAGCGGTTTGACCGGGCGGAAGCCGAGTATGTTACAGCCAAGCTTGACCTACAGCGCAAGACTGACATTAAAGAGCAGCTCACCGAGCACCTTTGTACGATCATACAGCAAAATGAGCTCCGCAAGGCCAGGAAGCTGGAGGAGCTGATGCAGCAGCTGGATGTCCAGGCTGACGAGGAGGCCTTGGAGCTGGACGTGGAGGTGGAGAGGCTGCTGCACGAACAAGAGGCAGAAGCAGGGAAACAGAAGGTTCATGGAGAGCCTTCAGGGGAGACTGTGACACTGGGACCTGCTCAGAACCAGAAGCATCAAGCGCCAGCTGCTTGCCCAGAGGCGGATGAACAAGGTGAAAAGCCCAGGAGCGCTGTCCTCACCCCAGACCGCCCAGATCAGGAAGTGAAGACTGCCGTAATGACGACGGGTCAGCTGCTCTGACCACGCGAAGTGGGCATTCGGTCAGCTTTCTTGTAGGTGATGCCATGAGCGCGGGAAATGCCTCTTTAAAACAACATTAACTTTTGAATCCATGTAGTGTTATAATAACGTGTTTGACCATTCTGAAGTCTCAGATGATGACTTTTGGTCCACTTCCTTTAGTGTACCCTCATTTTGGGTGAAAACAAGTGACTTAAAAGGTAGAAGAAAAACTACATGGTTATGAGTGTTTTTGGACCAGGTAAATATAGAAAAATAAACTGAACAATGATAATACCTCATCAGATTCATTTAACTTCCAGAGAAGTGCTGAGACAGAATCTTGTTTTATGTCTTCAGTAAAGAGGCACAAAAATTAAACATGAAAAAGAACAACTAACAAAAGTACTATTAGGATCTTACTAGATTATATGTCTTTGGATCTTACTAAAATTGTAAAACACGGCTTTGAAATTACCAGACAGCTTAAGCCAACATTACTTTTGTATTCAGTTCGCCTTTTAAGTGGCTTTACTTTACAATCTGAGTTTTGATTAGTTGCCACCCACACACAAACGTATGTCTATAGAAATATGCATATATATAATTTTACTATTAATGTGTTGTCTTTTCTTTAATCAGCCAACACATTGATTAGTTAAATTTAGACAATGAAAACATGTCTATGGTGAGGCTAAAAATAATATAGAAAATCATGCCACCTTTGATTAGAAAAAAAATTAACACATTTTCTTTCTAAAGTTACCTATAAATATGTATTTTATATGTTGGATATAAAATTTTCTGTCATAAAGCATTTAAATTGTCAAAATGAGTATTTTTATTACTCTAGTAGTGTATTAATTACCAGCACTGATACTTGAACACTATATTGTGCCATATGTGAATGTATAAATACGTATTGTAGTTTTGTCACAAAATCTGGAAATAGCACAATAAATTCTGATTTATCAGAAATTCCAAACAGTAAAGTCAAACATTTTAAGTCTTAAAAAGGAGAAATAAAAGAGGATAAGACAAATATAATATTGTATCCATAGTAATTTCTGAAAAATAATTTTTAAATGAGTTTGTTTGAGGATACTATTTTCTAGTAATCTGGATAAGCTCTGTATTTTTATATTATGTAATTTGACCTGAAATTACAGCTTTTCATTACTGATTTCTCTAAACAGAGACATTTATATAGATAGGTTCATTTTTATTTATGAATGACATACATAAAAACAAAGCTTCGCTGTCCAGTATACTCCTGTTTCTCTTAGGAATAAACAGATCTGATGCATTTATAATGTGGCCTCTCGTTTACCTTTCCGAAGACTTTGCAGTTTGGTGTGTGTCCTGAAGCAGCGTGGCAGTAGTGCGGCCCGAGTCTCCACGTGGCAGATACACTCGTCTTCTGTACGCACCCGTTAGGGAAAATTCATCAGTAAGTGAGGTTCTGTGTGAGCCACGAACAGATAAGTGAAATGGATGGGATCTTGGAGATCAACTGATTTAATTATTTTACAGATGAGGGATTTGAGAGCCAGAGATTTCACTTACGTCATGTTGGCCGAGCGGCTCGCTTTAAACTAGAAGGGATAGTCAAGTTGCAGTTCTAAACTCGTGATGTATCTCTTACAATGCAGACCATGATGTTCCCTGCATCCCCCTTGAAAACGTTGCCCAAGAACCCACTCAGGGATTGTTTGTCCAAGTGAAATGCTTTCAGACATGCCTATAAATGGCCCACTGAAACCATCATGTTGAAAAACGTACCTTGCTGGGCTTTCCCAGGGTGGTATCCAAGTGCTCAGGTGATGATATAAGTGACAAAGTTCTATTGCATCAGTTTTGTACACGGGCAGCTGTGGCCCATGTGTGAGAGGAACACGAACAAATGAACGAGACGTGGGCTCACTGGTATGAGGACCATATGCACTGGCTTTCCCTGGATCGCCCTGATATCTTTTAAAATCATAAAATACATTCGAAAGACTTGATATATGGATTCACAAATCCACAGTAATTGTTCGTTTCTGTGAAAGAAATTATTGGTTCAGAATTGCTGCCATGAGTTCGTCAGGGCACTTTGTAGGCTGTTCCTTCAGTGCCTCTTCCACGTCTCGGGCCGCGGAGCGGAGGCTTATCAGGAATCTTGATGTGCTGCGTAATTGAGGAGTTAACCACCTCGGGTTATCTCGCTTGTCTGTTTCAAAAACCGTCTTTACCAAATTACGGTAATTTTTACTTATTATCTTTAAAAAAAACAAACATCCTTCGAAGAGTAAACGGAATTCCTGAATTTTTTAAGAGTTCTTACACCTCGATTCCCAAGTACTTGCTTTAAGCTAGAGCCATTTTTACCAGTTTCAAAGAAGCACCGTTTCTTAAAACGCGGTTTGTGTTGCATTTCCAATAAAGAGTTTTTCTCGAGTTTTTCACCTCCGCATAATTCTACTGGCTGAATTATGGCCGTTGCAGGTAGTAAATCTTCATCCTCACTGAGAGCACAGCTGGTTTCCAAGTCAGATGATAAAAATCCGATTGCAATTCCTCGAACATATTTCATTGCCGGATTGGCATTTGAATTATAGAGTAAAAACGCAGCTATAAACCTCTCCGGGTCTTTGTTTGGTTTAGCAACACAGTACTCTCAAGGAGCTTGATCTAAGTATCCTGCAACTTCCTCTTCCGAGGCACGGGCACGAAACAGACTCAAGTTATTCTGACCCAAGCCATTCCCGGTGACCTTTACAAATGATGTTTTGGGTTTTGTATTTCTAAGGAGCCAAGTCAGCATTTTAAAGGGCCCTGATAGATATAACTCAGTCTGCCAGACAGGACCTGGGGCCGCTGTGAACCAGGGTAATTATACCCCCTCTCAGCACAGACCCACCCCAGGCCTGGCTCGAACTACCCTCTGGAGAGGCAGCAGGACACGGCTTTCCAGGCCGCCTTTACCTCAGTGTCAGGCTCCTTCTGCAGGCGCCTAATCCCAAACAGCTGTCTTAAAAATGCAACATCAGCCCTGGCTGGTTTGGCTCAGCAGTCAGAGCGTCGGCCCGCAGACCAATGAGTCTCGGGTTCGATTCCGGTCAAGGGCACGTACCGTGGTTATGGTTCGTCCCCGGTCCTAATTGGGGTCGTGCGGAAGGCAACCAGTGGGTGTGTGTGTCTCTCACATCGATGTTTCTCTCTCTCTCCGTCCCACTCTATCTGAACAAAAATGGAAAAAATATCCCCGGGGGAGGATTAAAAACAAAAATACGACGTCCTCCCAGTGCCATGGATCGAACAGCTGTGGACAGAGCCGTATCAGAGGCATATGTCTGTGCCCCTAAGAACTTTCTAGTCTACGTGAAGGACTGGATCGACACTCCTAAGACAATGGCTGATACAGAACATACTGTCTTGTTCCTGGGAGGACAGAATAAGTGGTAGGAACCCTGACTGTGGCTGCCGCCTCCGGAAGACGCCAACTTTTCAAACGCTCGGGGTTAAGTATCCCATCCAGTTGACTTGCAGTCTAAGACTGCGTCTAGGACCTGCCATGCCGGTCGGTTTTCCCCCAGCACGGGAGCAGCACACAACTACCACAACAAAACACCTGTCAGACAGTATGTCCAGAGTTTTGAGTTAACAAATAAAATGTAGTCACCAGAGCAAGAGTGAAGTGGAAAACGGGGAGGTTTTTGCATGTCACAGATTTAGAACTGGGCTCACGGGCACTTATCAGTGGAACAAAAACAAACTTCAAGCATTGGAAAAATTACTCTGAGTGCACGCCTTTCTGACAAAGGGTTGAAGTGTCTCCTGATGCACAGAAGTGTAGTTATAAGGCCCCGGTGCGGTAACTCGAGGTGCTGCTGAACCAAGGGGTAGTAGTAACTGCCAAAGCCAGCACGAGACGGGAGTGGAACAGACTAGTGTGAACTCAAGGGTAACAGCATGGACGCATGTTCAAAGTCACACACAAGAGAGGTCTTTCCAAGCCAAATGGCTGTAGTAATTGCCAAAGCCAGCACGAGACGGGAGTGGAACAGACTAGTGTGAACTCAAGGGTAACAGCATGGACGCATGTTCAAAGTCACACACAAGAGAGGTCTTTCCAAGCCAAATGGCCCCAGGAACCTAAAACGGAGCCATAATGAAGCAGTAACATGTGACAGGGAGCACATTTGTCGCTGATTATAGCTCCGGGTACGTCACTAGGCCAAAGGTTCATCCGAGGCGTGAAACAACAGCCCTGCAAGGTCTAGTATCACGCTGCTAAGAGGAGGAGGAGGAGGAAATGAATAGTGGGCGAAGTGGGGTCATTTCGTAAGCTATGATTTCAGTTGTTGGGTAACACTGCCTTGTATAGAGCACATGTGGCCATTAGTTACATCCAGCATCCTGACGCTCATATTGACACCAGGGCCTTCACTGAAGTTAACACTCTGCAGAACTGTCCATCTTCTCGTTGTCTTAGCCAAGCAAAAACCAAGCAGTAAAGACACAAAGAAACTGGAAAGTCTACAGGCCGGTGGAATTACAACCGCAGGCGCTCAGACGAAGCTTCCATGACTGAGAGGTGGCTGGAGCAGCCACACGGTCGTCGTCAGCGTTGTGGCTCATTGCTCTCGTGAGCATCTAACCCAGAAGCTACCCGGAGGCAGGGCCCTGCGTCCCACTAGCTCTGCTCCCCGGGCTGAGTCTGCCCGTCCCCACCACTGCGCTGCGGGGCAGACAGGACAGACGGAGCACTGTGGGGCTGGCAACCCTCTGAACCCCGCGGTACGGTGGCCGACAAGCGAGGGGCCCAGAGAAGTCTCCGAGCTCTGCAGATGCCAGGAGAGGCCTGCGGATCATGGAGGCTGCCAGCTGTCTTTGCACATTCCTGTCCGTGCTTGTCTGACTCAGCACTTCAGAAGCAGTTAAAAATCAGAACCAAACTCAGGCGGCAGGTTTTCTGTGGTCCTTAACGTCTCCCACGGCACAGACCAGGGCTGTACTCTGGGAGGCAAACGACGGTTTTTATCTGGGCCCAACCAGCCCCTCCAAAACCCATCCGCTGAAATGTGACCTCTGACGTGATGGCGTCAGGAGGTGGTTGGGGCCTTTGGTAAGCGTCTGGGTCATGAGGGTGGAACCCTCATGAAGGAAATCTGTGCTCTTCTAAGAGACCTTGCAAAGCTCTCCTACTGCCCTGACTGGTTTGGCTCAGCAGTTAGAGCCGCGGCCTATGGACTGACGGGTCACAGGTTCAATTCTCGGTCAAGGGCACGTACCCGGGCTGCAGGTTTGATCCCTGGCCCCAGGCGGGGTTGTGCTGGAGGCAACCCATCGATGACTCGCTCTCTCTCTCCCCCTGCATCCCTTAAAAATCAATGGGAAAATATGCTCGGTTGAGGATTAACCACAAAAGAAAATTAAAAAGCTCCTCTACCCTTCCACCACGTGAGGACACAGAGTTCAGTCGTCTCTGAACCGGGAAGCAGGTCCTCACCGGACACCAAATCTGCCAGCACCTTGGTCTTGGACACCACCACCCACCCACCCCCACCCCCCACCCCGGCCTCCAGAACGATGAGAAACACGGTTCTGCTCTTCACGAGTCTGTAGTATTCTGCCAGCAACCCGATAGACTGAGACCACAGCGAGCAACATCTCGGGGAAACTCAAAGTCAGTAGGCTACTCTTCCCAAGCAGGTCTACCTTCCGATGGAAGGGAACATGTTAAAGTAATGTACTTCGGCTTGTACAGTGGACAGCACCCCAGCTCCAGGAATGCCAAGCATCACAGAGCAGGTGTGAGGAGTTGAGACCTGAGATGACACCCAACCGGCTGAGCTGAGACGCAAATCTCTCGAGGCCTTACCTGTGCCACAGTGTCCGTTGGCGAAAGATGACCCCGCCCTGCCCTCCCCTGACTTCCCATTGCTACTGGAACCTGTTGTTAGGGAAGGGAAACCAAGTCTGCGTCCTAGCCACGTGTCTCAGGGTTTGTGGTTGCGCAGGGAACCGTCCCGTAACAGTGTCTTCAGGCAGAAACCGCTTTTGTTGGCTCGTGGTTCTGTGGGTGAGCGATTTGGTCTCAGCTCCACCGCCAGATCTGCTGATCGTGCTGGGAATCATGCAGGTGGGCGCAGCCCTCCGCTGGGTTCCTGTGGTCTAACACAGCCCCTCCATTCCCTCTCCCCCTCCAGAGTACCCGCTTGGACTTCTATCCAAGGAGGGCGCAGGGTCCCAAATGGCAGGAGTGACCGCTGCAAGGCTCCTTGAGACCCAGGCTCAGCAGGCACCGTTCTTGCTGCTGCATGCCACTGACCAAAGCCAGTCACGAGACCGGCCCAGATGCAGGTGGTAGCAAATGGACTGTCCGTCTCGACAGAAGGAGCAGGAAAGTCGCATGGCAGTGGGACGTTCACGTAGGAACGAGAGGACCGGTGATGCCGTCGCTGCCGTTTGCCACGGCCTGCGCCCTCCTCGCTACGATTCACATCCGTTCCGCATGCAAAACGACTCACCTTCCTCCTCCCGCCTCTCATCCCAGCATGGTTCCAGGCGTGGAGTCCAGGATCCCGTCCTCTGATCAAGTCCAGATGGGAACCAGGCTCCTCAGCCACTCCAAAGTGGCTCCCCTTCATCGAAATACCTGCGAACACAAAGGAGAAGTTCGCTGTCCTCACCACACCTCAATATGCAGTGGTGAGACAGAACAGATTGCTGCAGTAGACACTCCCTTTAGAAAACGAGAAACACGAGGCAAAGGCAGTGCTCATCCTTGTGAGAACCAGCCCAGGATGCTGTCAAGTCTCCTGCTGCTGGGACAGAGAGTATCACCAGAGCCTAGTTCTGCTGTCTGGGGTCTCCTGGTTCCCTGTTCTCCACCACCCTCGGCTCTGCAGTTAAGTATCTCTCCTGCTCCATAAGACAGGACGCATGTTTGCAACTGAGTAGCTCTCTCGGTTCGCCTCCCAGCCATAGACACTTGGGGGTCCAGAGGCCTCTTTTCATTTTGGAAAGTCCCAGTCTTTCTTTGTTAATGCAACTCTCTGAAAACTTCGTAGGTTTTCTTCCCATCTTAGTGGGATTCACTCAGAACTCCAAAGCCACATTTACAATCCTTTCTTTATGGCAACCTCTCTTGACACTGTAGATGTCAGGGAGCTATGACCCAGTGTCCCTATCATGGGCAGAATCGTGTCTCCCAAATAGGTTGCAACCCTAACCTCTATGTGACTGTATTTGGAGATATTGGGGCTTACAAGGAGGTAACTAAGGTTAAATGAGGTCATAAGAATGGGACCCTGATTCAATAGGGTTAGCGTTCTCATAAGAGACAATAAAAACCTCTCCCCTCCCCCTCTCCGCCCCACCTGCTTCATTCTCTCTCCTCCATAGGAGGACACAGCAAGAAGATGGTACTTTGTTACACAGCCTGAACTGACTGATACAGATTCTGGCAGCCAGAAGCAGGATGCGGCTACAACAGCTTCCACTCAGCAGCTCCGGAAGTCTCTGCTCATTCAAGCATCTGAAGTCTGAACTCCCACGTCTCATCTAAACATCAGCTGAATAAGGTCCCGTGCAGTCTTACATGACACTGGACATCGAAAAAACCATGCCTTTCACTCTACATAAATCACGCCTCAATAAACAAGACTTTGAGGGAAAATCGTGACTTAAAGCAACGATGTTCTCATCCTTGTGTGGGTCAGCAGCTTGGACCAGGATCAGATGGGCCGTTCTTCTGCTGATCGATCCAGCACAGAATCAGAAGCAAGGGAAATGGTGGTTGTTTTAAGAGAGCAAGTCAGTCTTGTGCATCGAAAGATCATTAATTTGGCACAGTGGATCGAATCAGGAGCGCCTGCGTGTTCTGTAAGCCAACAAAATGCAAGCTAGCTCTAAAGGAGCTTAACCACCCTCAGAGTGATGAGCAGAATCTCTGTCCCATCTAAGGAGGCCTACACCATGTCTGAATGGTGCCTGAACCACCCAAGCAGAGCTTCTGCTTGGGGAAGATTTCAGTGCCGAGCTCATAGGATGACGGGTCAAGCGGGTCAGCTTTCCCAGGATGGCCCGTATGTGTCTGCGGGTCTAGTCCCTGGGGTTAGCTGTCCGGGCTGGCCTCCTCCAAGCTGGTCCACTGCACTCAGTCCACGTGGATTCCATCTTCAACAGCCCTTGGACCAGCTGTGGGAACCCTGCAAGTCTGGCGCTCTCTCGACCACGTCTCTACCTCGCCCAGGGCCACCAGTGACGCGAGGCTCAGCTCGCTCGCCACTCGAGGACCATGGAAAACCCACGGCAACGCATGCCCTTCACTGTCGATGTGCCAAGCAGTTTCTCTGGCACACGGCTGGGTAGAGGCGACCTCTCTGGGGCTTGCCATCTTTCGGATGCTAACCTGGAAATAAGACACAGTTCTCCTTGTTCTCGGGGTATGAAAGACCCACACTGATGCCAGGGTTCGGCCCGCGGAAGGGGGAGAGGGACGCACCAGCGTCCGACCCTCCTTGCTCGGCTTCAGAATCGCCTCTTGTCTCCCAGCCAGGGGAATTTTTATTGTACGTGGGCAGGAAAAAAAATTGGCTCAAATCGATCAAATATTCATCCAGATCTTTTTTGTCTGAAGCCCGAAGTTCAGCTTTTTCAACTCAAATGCCAAGAATTTGTCTCTTTTGTTCTCCGGTTCTGCTGTGACAACCCTCCCTGGAGGCAAGGAATGACTCATGGTCTCGCTGCCCAGATGCGGGAGGGTCAGGGGTAACAGGAAATCAGGGGAAAAACACACTGGTTAATACATCAAAATATTATCCTGCTACACTCACTTCTCTAGTCTTTCTCCTATTCCTGCTTCCACGGAGGCCGACCGGTCCGCTCCTTTCTTACAAAGCCTTCTGCATTCCGTGGGGGACTTTGGGGTGCAAGGGAAGAGAAATCAACTCAGTCTTGCCCACTCTCTCCCTGCAAATGAAATGCAGGTGCCGGGAGGAGCGGGAAGGCTGGAGACGGACAGAATGCAACGGTGCTTTCGGAAGGCACCCGAGACCCGAACCTGCACCGGAACCGTTCTCCCTCTTCTTTCCGCCCACTCTCTGCCTGTCGGCTGTGTCACTGCGTGACTGTCACTGCGTGACTGTCTCTGGGCCCTCTGCGCACAGGGCCTCGGTCCGAACGCCTGCTACCTGCTGGGACTGGAATCACTCCCTGGGGATCTGAATTCTAACGGAAGGGATTCGGATCCCATGAGCGTGGCCCACGATCAAGCAACGGCAGCTGAGGCAGGCGTGGAGAGAGGACCGAAGCCCATTTTAGAAAAAGGCAGCCAAGGGCCCATCACCAGTGGAGGGAAGGAAAATTCTTGGGAAAGCAGAGGCCAGGCAGATAACCCCTAGATGTCTGATGTTCTGTTCCCAGCGTGGGGGTGATTTGGCCTCTACTAAGCTACCTTGCAGCTTGTCTGTACCTGTCGCGGCTCCCTTATCACGCCGCGTGTGTGATCGCTGTGTATGGACGTGCGTCTCACTTCTAATGGGCCGGCTGCAGCGTGTGGGCAAGAACTGAGTTTCCCTCTGCACACAGGCTGCAGATAATAGACGAAGGAGTGAATGAACCACTGGGAACAAAGGAGCTAGTTGAGTCATAAGCCTGAACAATCGGTGGATACTATAAGGTGAAAAACATCAGGCACTTATATGGAGGGTGTAACTTTGAAAACACATCCACATACCTGCTTTTATAGATGACTCTTTTCACTTAAAAACATTTTTTTTTTCTTTCTTTATTGATTTTACAGAGAGAGGAAGGGAGTGGAGAGAGAGAAAGAAACATGGATGAGAGAGAACATGGATTGTCTGCCTCCTGCGTGCCCCCCACTGGGGATTGGGCCCACAACCTGGGCATGTGTCCCGACTGGGAATCGAACCGGCGACCTCTTGGTGCAGGGGTCCACGCTCAACCACTGAGCCACACCGGCCGGGCATGACATTTTTCTTAGGCAGGGAAAGAGTTAAGTGGTTTTGCACCGCATTCACAGACTTGACCGAAATGCTACAATTTGGGCTTTTCCATTTTAGCTGACATGGTTTAAGTTGATGAATATTTTGATTTGTGCCAGTCTCGGGGCAGTTTTAAATGCTATCCCTGCAGGAGTCAAGAAGTCCAGTCATAATCATAACAATATGCTTGTCAGTCAAAAGCACCGGAAGATTGTTTAGGTGCAAAGAAAGCATTTTCCCCTGAAAGGAAACAGGGCCATTGAAATCACCTACTTTTCAAGGCATTGAAGTCAAAACTGTTACCAGCTTCATGGTGTGAAAATCCAGGTCTCTCAGGCACCCCCAGGGTCAGACTCCACTATGTCCTCGGGCTGTGCGGCCGAACACCAGCCACAGTCTGCAGAGCAGGAGAGGCCGATTCCCCATCATTATATGCATGTCGCCAGGGAGGCCGTGCAGCCAAAGCACCTTGGGATAGGTTTGCAGAACCAGCTGAATCAGAGTCCGCACAGTTACACAAGATCCGGGCAGAAGAAAGTGGTTTTATCCCTCCCCCCAACCCCCAACCGACCGAGCAAGTGCTATTTGATAGAATTGACCTAAAGGTTATACCCTAAAAACTGTTTGCATTGCTGCAGACACCATTTAAAAATTCACATAGCCTCGGGTTCATCAGCAAAAGGGGAAAAGCCAGAGACTGTGGGAGAGAGGAAAAAGAAAGGGAACAGCCCGGAGACGTGGATTTCCAAACTGGAGGCAGCCCAGAATTATTCCGATTTCTGGCTATGCTGGTGTCAGGACCTTCTTTTCTCAGTGTTAGTGTGACCCTCAGGACTCCAGCTGCTCCACGAATTGCTCAGCCCCTTCGGCCCGCCCGCGGGAAGCGAAGCCAGGAAGCTGGCATGCCCCTTCTAGTTTTGTTGCATCGACTGCAGCTTTTCCGTGGACGCGAACTGGTTAAACAGAAAGTTACCATAATAGAAAGAACACCTTTCACCCCCCGAAGAATTCCACAGACCCCATGCTGATATCAAAAGCATCTCCTCATGGGAAAGAGCAATGTGGAGAGCAGAGAGGAGCAAAAATCTGGTGTTGGGCGTCCGCTGGGAGCTTCAGACAAATATGAAACAATGACTTCATGCAGTAGATACATTTCTCACATTCTTCCGCCAGTTTTATTGGCTAAAAACGCACGTAGCTATCCAGTTGTGCGAGCACCAAGCCCGCCCAGAGGAGAAGCCGAGTGGGTGTTAAAGTGCATACACCCAGCGTGGAAATCGAATCCCACACCAGCGCTTTGTTCCCCAGTGGATCGATGTTGGTCAGTCTTGACGTCAACTGCAAACGCGTTGATGATGAGCCTCTGTTTCACCGATAAGGAAGAGGAACCTCTGAAGAGGTAAAAGCCCACATCTTTAGCGGCCCCAGAGCAGGGAGACATTTACTGTCGCATCGAAGGCCGACCTTCCACATTCTCCACTGTGCCGGGTGCAGCACAAAGTCTGGTTTTCTGGGCACGCCGCGGTGTGTCCCAGCCCTCTCTCTCTCTGGCTCTGTCTGTGATTCTCTCCTATGAGGATGCTTCTTTTCCGGTGAGCCGCGACTAGTCCCCGTCGAACTGGCCGTGCCCACACCCGCCTCTGCCCCGTTATACTCTGTTTCCCCCCTTCTTCGTCTAAGCTGTGTCCTTCCCTCCTTCACCTGCTGCCTCTGTGCTGCTCCAGCCTCTGCCTGGGCTCGCGACTGGATTCCTCTCAGTGGGCCCTTTGCCTGGGGGGCCTCACCCTCCAGGATGGCTCAGGATTTCACCAGCCCCCGAGGCCATGCAGCTAGCAGCAAGTAGACAGGCTCTGGAATCAGATAAACTCGTCTGGAGATCCAAGCTCTTTCCCTACGGAACTGCATCATTGAACCCCTCTGTCATTCCGGTTTCTCGTGTGGAAAGTGAGAGTCATACTATCTAGCTTACAGAGTTCTTGGGGACATCACAGACAGTCACACAGACAAAGGGCTCCGTCCCTTACACCATAAAGTAAGCCACAGCCTCGTCTCCTGTGCTCCTGCTTTGTCCGAGAGGAGTTCTCGGCACAGACTAGGTGCTCAGTTCGTGCTTATGAACGGAATTAATGACTATCCGGTACACAATAAACCTTAGTTCTTTTTTATTTTTTCCTGTCATTTCTGCAGGGTAGCATGTACGCAGGCATCTCCTGGGACACTCACTGGCAGGAGCTTTGACGACTGTTCGCTCGTGAGCCCTCGGTCTCTTCATGGCACCCAAAGACCCCGTTTATCACGGCAGTTAACCCGCTTGTCTATGAACTTCGATGCGATTCCCTACTGACGGCAGCAGCAGAGTGGAAGCAATAGTAATAGCCTTAGAAAAGAAGTGAGGGAACTAGAAGAAGCCATTTGAGAAATATTTCTAATCGTGAACCTTTTCTACCTGTCCAGCTGAGAAGTACACCGTCAAACTAAAAAATAAAGCACAAGCCATCAATGATAAAGCTCTGAAGAAGAGAGGGAGGGAGGGAGGGAGAG